TTCCCGATTCTTCTTCTGCATCTTCTCCAAGTCGGGAGACAGCTCGGAGAAGCGGGTCAGCAGTGCGGCGTCGGCAGCATGGGCCTAGGAGGAGGAGAGTAGACGTTAGCATTTCATCAAAGGAAGGGACGAAGTTCCAAGGGGCGTAGGTAGAAAAGGGGGCTTACTTGGGCCTGGGCGGTGCAGTACGCGTCCTGGAGTTCGGACGGGCTGGCCAGCTCCATCCACTTCCTGTCTCGGGGAAGGACGGACCCCGTAACCCACTCGCGAGCCACCTCGGGGAATTGGGATCGGTCATTGATGGAGAGCTCCCAAGACGGGCAGAAGCGCCGGGGATCATGCATCGTGGGGGCCTGCCCCGGCTTTGTGGGAGCCACGTGGCGGAAGTACCACAAGCTCGGGGGGCGCTCTCCTGGGCGTGCTCCTCCGCGGAGCCTACCCCCAGGTGGACAGGACCCCCAGATGTCAGCAGGAGGGGGCGCTGGGTTGGGCCCTGCGCAGATTTCTTCCCAGGCTGGGAAGGCTCGTCTTGTCGCCCCCTCTTCTGCCCCGTTGCCTTCTTCTTTCCGGGGGCTGGCTTGGAGGGGGACTGAGCTTTGGAGGCCTCCTTCTGGGGGCCAAACTGCCCCCAGGAGTCGCCGAGGCCTCCGGGGCCTTCTTCGCCGCCTCAGGCTGTTCAGTGGAGGCCGTCTCCTCAGTCGGCGCGCCCAGTAGCCTTGAGAGCCTCTTCACTGCAAAAAAAAAAAAAAAAAAAAACAGCACCAGGTTAGTGCTACAAGCCGAGGAAATGTAAGGGGCAAGGATACAAATAACAGAAGAGCAGATCACGAGGGACCAGGAGCAGTATTACAGGTGCCTTGGTCGGCAGTGGAGAACTCCACCCTCCGGGGACCCGGACAGCTTCCCCAGCAGCCCGGCTGCGGAGATCTGCTCAGTGGAGAATTTGGCTGCGTACAGCTTCACCGCCGAGCCCAACAGCTGGCCAAAGGTCTCAGGGTCCAAGTCCTCCGGATAGGGGTCGTCTCCGACCCCCCCAACCTTCCACGCATGGCGGGGGAATCGCGTGTTTTTAACAAAAAAGAATCCCCCTTCCAGTTTTTCACGGAAGAAGGGACCCCATACAGCAGATCCTGGGCACCCTTCCCGTCGCGATTGCTGGGAGAGCGGCGGCAGAAGTAGTACCACCCAGGGAGAGAAGCCTTGAGGGCATAGTGGGAACGGAAGAGGGAGAGAGAATAGGGGATGGAGCAGATCTGGCAGTAGATCAGGAATCCGACGATGATCCTGATCGAGTTGGGGTGGACCTGGGTTATCCTGAGCCCCCAGTAGCTCAGGATCTCGGCCAGGGCTGGAGGAATGGGGAGTCGAAACCCCGCGACCAATTGCTCCTTGTAGATGGCCACAAAGCCTGGGGGAGTTCGGCAGGCCCGGTCGGTGGGTCCGGCAGCTCGGGGCTCGAAAGCCGAAGGAATAGAGAAGGATGCGGCCAGATCGGCCACCGCCCCGGGCGAGAGGGTGGTCTCCTCCCGGTCGGGGTGACCGTAGTTAAATTCAGAGTCATCCCCCTGCTCGGCGGTAGGGGTCCCCTCTGAGGAGTCCCTGTCCTCCCCAGCTCCTTCCTGGGCCCCTCCGGGGGAGTTGTGTGGTGACCTGGGGGAGGGGACGGAAGCGGCTCGCTGCTCGATGAGGGCATCGAGCTCGGCCACCTCCTCCAGGAGCCGGGCGGAAGGGGAATGAGTGGATGGAGAACTCATGACGTCAATGGGCTCAAGTAAATCAGGAATGGGAAAGTTGGGGTTGGAAGCAGAGCAGGAAGAGGGAGAAGGAGAGGGAGACGATGAAGATGAAGATGAAGATGAAGAGGAAATGAAGATTCTGGTGGCTCTACGACGGACTGGAGTCTGAGAGGCGGTGGAAGTAACGTCGGAGAGGCCCGACATAAAATGCAAAGGATAGCAAAAGGAAGAAAGAAAATGCGAGAAAAGGGGGTGAAAGGACTTACTGATGGTCGGAGTGAAGAAAGGGGTGGAGAAGTCGCCGGAATCTGGGCGCTGTTGGCCGGAAGTGCACTACTGGAGTTGGAAACGCACGAGAAAATGAGAAAATGGCAAATAGAGTTAACCGGATTTTGGGCAGCCACTATTTATAGGGGGGCAGAATGGGGGGAAAGCGGTTACTTGAATTTGAACCGTCCCATGTGAACACATTTAATGGGGGTACAGAGACCGAAGGGACGCGACAACTGAAAGGACGCGGGCGCCACTTCCAATGTCAGCACTGCACCGGGGGTGACCGCGGCAGAGCAGTGTAATGATGGGATTCCACGTGGCTAAGTGGTAGATCAGGTCTGCCTGGGAGCCCGACCTAACCTAGGGGGATAGTGCAGAGGCCCCATCCTGGGACCGTGCACGTGGCAGCCCAGGGTCTACCCGAGCTGGGCTTGCACCCCGGGCCCATAGGGGAACAGCCCAGACCGCACGATGGCTAGGGCTCCCCGGGGGCCCGAGAGCTACCCCGCAGAGGGCGGGAAGAATCCCCCGCAGCGCGGGGCTGGGGGCTATCCACGGCAAGTCCCGGATCGTACGGAGGTCGGACTCTTCAGCAGGTATAAATGGTAACACATACTTACTGTACAAGGTACGCTCACTATTGGCAATTGACCCCCGTCTGCTTTACTGCTAGTACTCCCCCTACTCCCCGGAGAACTAACTTGACCGTCGGAGTGCCCTCGGGGACCACCTCGGGGCCCCCTTCGTTAGCTCACCCTCGTTCGTTTAGCAGGCTTGGAACCAGCTCTCCCATCAACACCCGAGCTCATCAAGCCAGCTCGGTCCGGGGAAGTTCCGTGCTTCTTCAGTCGATAACTTTTGAAGTCCTGCGAGGGACTTATCTACCCCATTGTTCCATTATTGATTTCTACTAGTTGGCATTTTTCTTTGTTTTTGGCAGTAATTCAGCTCGGGATTGATTTGAGACATTAATTATTATTATTGATTTGAGCCAAATCCCTTTCAATTGTGGAGCCCTGGATCCGAATGAAAGCGACTGCCAAGCCACGCTTTGTCCTGTAGGGCCAACGCCAAATCTCTGCCTGCCAATGGGCTCCACGCGACTTCTTTTTTCTTTTTTTTTTTTTTTGAAGGAACGCGGCTGTTCAAATCAATCAAGTTTTCTTTTTCTTTTTCTTTTTTTTGGGTTGGCGATTGCGTGAGATTAAAGGCCAAGATGAGAGAAACCCGAAAATGAATTGTAAGTTAAGTGTATATAGGACGAAGGACAAGTAACCTCTCTCGTCTCGGCTGCTGGTTATCCGCATGGCTTAAAAGTCCAACGGTACATGCTGCTCCACCATTTACGGTGAAATTTTTCAGTAATTAATTTAGCAATAATCATTTAAAATATCCCTCGTATTTTATCAGATAAAATTTATGCCTCTTACAAAATCAAGTCAATAAAATTTAATTTCAATATTGATTTTTGACCCTTTTTTTTTTTACTCTAAAGCTACCGCGTGACTCACGCATGATCACTTTTATATGGATAAAAACAGTTACAACCTGCTTTGTAATTAAATAAATGACCCAATTTATATCCATGTTTTTCCCTAAAAAAGTAAGATCTAAAAAAACCATATTCATTTTTCTCTTTAAAAAGAGCAAAATGACGCAATCCATATTTATTTTTTGCTACTAAAAAAGTGAGATATGATGTTTTTGTATATAAAAAAAATGATTGCGCGTAGTGATTTTAGACTAAAATTAGTTGAAAACTTAAATTGAGATCAAAATTTGCTAATTTGGATTTATAAGGATCGTAAAATTAACATTTTAAAAATGAAAGATGGAAGAAAATTCATTTGAATAATTTTTCCAATAATTTACCATAATGGTTCTCCGAGTTATTTTGAATTCCTTCCTCGCCACACCTTCTACCTCCCTCCTACACTGTGGTTTAAGTACCAAGTAAATGTGAACATGAATTAGGGTCTGTTTAGGAGTGCAGTACTTTTTTTAAAAAATAAAAATAAAAATACTTTTGAGGTGTTTGGTGAACATCAAACTATAAATATAAAAGTTAGAGTTTCGAATGTTAAAAGCACTTTTGTCTTTCAACGGTAAATAATAAACACACACACACACACACTTAGAATCTAAAGCTTTGCTTGGATTGTTATTTTCCGTAGAATAAGATAATTTCACGGGTTTACCCAAAAGGCAATTGCTGTTAAAAGCATTTTTGAAAAAAATTCAAATTTGGTGTTTTTTAGAATAACTTTTTTGTATTTTAAAAATAAACACGAAATTTAATTATTTTACCCTTATATTACGAATTCAGTAGAACAGACAAATCAATTTAAAAAATTTAAACATGATGATTGATGGAGCAAAGACGTGGATCATGGCTTTAAGTGCAAGGGTTCGGTGTGCTAAATCTAAATGACGATTACCCCTTTCAGACGAAACCAGTTCAACGTGATTTTTTGTTTTTTTTTGGTTTTAAGGAAAAAAATGTTGGGTCACACTCCAGGGACAACGGATTCATTGACCAAAAGGTGGGATTTAATGCTTTACTTTTGAGGAAATATGTTACTACAAACCACCGATAGATAACTACTAAATCATCAAAGAGTTTTGTACACTACTGTAAAAAAAAAATTATTGTACTTAAATTCTAAAAATGACCCGGCCGCTTGTCATTCTCATCTTTTCCAAGTTTGGGTGCTTTTGTGGCAGCGTCCAGAGAATGGTGGTTTTGTCAAGTAATTTAAACAAGAAGGAGATTTTGTTGTATTGTTAATATCATTATTATTATTAATAATATTATAATGATAGGTAGAGTAAGTACATGAATTGAATATATAGATGCAGATGCAGATGCAGATGGTCGTACGCTACACTTGATTGATTTTGTCTGTCATAGAGAAATGGTACAGTGCAGGTAGGCAGCTACGGTATTCATAAATGCGGGTTCACAGATACGGACGCAACAATAATAATATAACAATTAGGGACTGATGATACTAATAAGCTAACGTACGTTTTCTTTGAAGCAGTAGTAACTAATAGTTTGTGAAATAATTTATAAGGTTCTTCTTCTCTTCTCACGTAAATAAATGTCTACATACAAATCATGATTAGCGGTCGAGAGACGAGAGACGAGAGGGAGTCGTTTCCTTAATTAATTTCTAAAACTAGTTTTTTTTTTTGTTTTTTGGAGGGGGGAGGAGGGAGAGGTTTATTGATTTATTCATCAATTAAAAGGTTTCTGGTTTTGTCTCCGGGTTCATTCTAGTCTAGCGGATATAGGTCTATAAATTGTTTGTCACGATGTAAGGAGGAGTAATAGATGCAGCAGCATTGACAAAAAACACGCAGCAGCAGCAGCAGCAGCAGCAGCAGTAGCAGTAGTACTATTAGGGCTGTCAGCAAGCAATGGAGTTGCAGATGACAAGAGAAAACGCAGACTATACAGTTAGGGCGGCATCTTCACCACAACCGAAAATGGGCGGCGGAGAGGGAGCCGTAGATGATCATGAAGGACAGTCTCTGAGCAGCAGGAGGAGGAGGTGGCGGACGAAAGCCCTGGTCATCACTCAACTCACCCTTCGAGCTTTAGTGGTGGCCTTCTCCTTGGCCGCAATCATCATCACGATCACTGCTAAGCAGACAGTGAATGTTGGCATACTTACTTTTACAGCCCGATACAACTACTCATCTGCCATGAGGTGCTTCTATTTTTATTTATTTATTTATTTAATTTTACTCCTCCTAATGATCTCTTAATATTCGTTGCCTCGTGTTTTCTCCATCATGTGTGAGTGTGTGTTGTTAAATAAATCCGCAGGTTCCAATTGGGAGCAAACTCTGTTGTATGCGCTCTCTCTTTTCTGTCGATGCTCCTCTTCGTCCTCCCTCTCCGCTCCGCTCATCCTCAATCAGAACCCCCCGGAAACTACTTCTATTTGCTTTTGCACGATATGGTACTTGATGATCACTACTACTCTGCTTCCCCCAGAATATTAGTACTGTAGTATGCTGCTGCTGCTGCTAGTTCTTTTCTTTTCTTTCAGTAGACAGTAGTAGTATGAATGTGTTTTTGAAAAAGCCAGGCAGCGCATGTTTTAATCGTCGTTCCGGCTGACAGGTGTTGACGATGTTGGTGATATCGGGATGTGCAGCGGGTTCTACTGTTGGCTATTTGGCCAAATATGGACAGGAGCAGGGCAGCTGGATTGCCTTCTGCACGTACCTCCACCGGTTCTGTAATCAACTGCAGGCGGCTCTTGCATTCGCTTACTTGGCTTTCTTTTGCATGTTTGTGCTCACCATCGTGGCTGCTTCCAAGCTCAAGTCTCATGTTAGATAGAACTTACAAGAAGAGTACTCAACTCTGTGTGGTTTGTATTTTGTGTAATTTGTAAGCTTTTGCTGGAGGACAATTTGTGAGCACGGAATCAAATTAATTAATACTACTATTCCTAGCCGTCATTGACGCCACGAGTGATTAAAATCTCTATTCTAGTAACCACGACTTCAACTTCCTACTTGTGGTAAATGTCGCCCAGACAATCAACAAGGAGGCAGATATACAAAAAATAAAAAATTTTAACAGTCCATTTCAGGGACAGGGAGGACTTGGGAAAGAGAAATCCATCCGTCCGTCCGCCCAATTCCATCCTCCCGATTCCTTATCATCAGATGATACTTGCTATCATCATCCATTAACGACGAGGAGGAGGAGGAGGAGAGATACTAGTAGTAGTAGCATCGAGGTGGGCGACTGGATTTGGTGCTGTGGCTGGCTGGCTGGCTGGTGGTGGCCGGTGGGTGGTCTATACTCTTTTCTACTAACTAATAAATTTTAGTTTTAATTCAATGTGGAGAAATGGAATTTACCTATATATATATATTTTTTTTTGATGAAAACGGAAATGCTAAATTATTAAGTATTATTATTAGTAGCAGTAGCAGACTAGTAGTAGTAGTGTGGTAGGGATTTTCTCCCCAACCCAGCGTTGGACTCGGCTATCTTCTTCTTGTACGACTTCCCCATTATTTACTGGGTAATAAAAAATTACCACTTTTATTTCTAATAATAATAAAACTCCTACTACGAATAGATTTGATTTGAGCAGTGCTAATTGACTTTTTGTTTCTCTTTTTTCCAATCACAACTGACTGGGTGTACGTATCGGACGATGGTGATGCAGAGGAGGATGGCGAATCCGGGATTGATCTGGTGGCATTTGGCTGCCTTCTTCGTTTTTCTGGTATCAGTATCGCCGGCTAACGGCGACGACGGACCTTTCATCCTGGCCCACAAGAAGCCCACCCTCACCAGGCTCAAGTCCGGCGCCGAACGTATCTCTGTCTCTATCGACGTCTACAACCAAGGATCTGCGTACGTTTCAACTCCCAACTTCCTTGTCCCCCGCTCCCCCCCCCCCCCCCCTCTTTTCTCTCCAAAAAAAAAAAAACAAGCCCTTATCATCTACCGTATCAGATCTGATCTGTTTTTCCACATACGGTAGTACCCATTCTCTTGCCTGCTTTGCTCTTCTATACTCGTCCTAGTACTTGTTTCTTTTATGTGATCCGTGCGACGCTCTGTTTTGTTTTGGTTGCCGAATTCCAACAATTACTTTCTTATGTTTTGTATTTATTGCCTTTTTTTTTTCTTACTATGTTTCTATTTTTCACCTCAATTGTTGAATCGTCACGTGTTTTTCCACCTCGTCTCATATCTACTTAGCTGGATTTCCTTGTCCAAACACCCCTCCTTCCCGGTTCTCCCCCCACCGCCTGCGCCCCCCGGGGGGTGGGGTGGTGGTGTTGGTGGGGGATCTGCCAATTCCTGCCCTGATTCTTCGGTGCAACTTCAATCTTGACTGTTTTCCTTTGTTTTTAATTTGATGAGTTTGCAAACTAATACTGGGACTATGCTATCTCCCCTTGTCTTGGTTCTGCCTACTCAATCATGCATTTCAAAACTAGGACAATTTCTTAAACTAAGATTTCCAGTGTGACAAACTTTAGAACTAGAAATTTTGATTAATTTGGAGGAGGACGTAAACCTAGATTTTGATTCTTCTATTCTAATTCATCGATTGCGTTTCTAAAGATTTAGGAGTAATTATTTCCCTCCGTGTTTAAAGTTTCTGCATTTTGCCATTACCTAAGAGTTTAATATAGTTCAGTGTATCCTACATATTATCTTATTCTCTTCATGATTCCAAAGTGAAAATCAATGTCGAACATTGGAATGAACTTGTCAATCACTTCAAGTTGTTGCTTTCAATTGACTTTCACCGGCTGTTATGCTGTCCGCTGAGCTTTCTCCATATGCTCCAAAGCATCATCTCCATTTAACACTTTTTCTCTTGTTTTCCCCCTCTCTCTGGTTTTCAATATCCTCGGAGCTTCTTGTGACAGTATATGAAACTCTATGCAGGACGGCCTATGATGTGACTCTCAATGACGATAGCTGGTCCCGAGATGTATTTGACATTGTCGGTGGTAACACCTCAATGTCATGGGAAAGGCTTGATGCGTGAGTTCCGGACTTCCCTCCTGCTAAATGATATTGTGAAACCTTATTCACCTTTAATTACTGGTTGCTTTGCCCTCTATCTGTTTGCAGTGGGGCTTTTCTAGCACATTCCTTTGAGTTAGAAGCCAAAGTTAAAACACTGTTTTATGGTGCACCTGCTGTTATCACTTTCCGTGTCCCCACAAAGGCAGCCCTCCAGGTTTGGCTGTTTCACAAATTATCTGTTCCCTTAGCATCCTTTGTCTAAAACATTTATAATATATACGATCTTCAATGTTTTGCTGGTTGCCATTGTAGGAAGCATACTCAACGCCAATCCTACCCCTTGACATTCTAGCTGATAGGCCTCCTGAGAAAAAGTTTGACTGGGTAAGCGTCATGCCAGCTGGATGCCTATAACCTTCTTATGCATTCTTAATGTTCGAAGACTAACTAAGTGTGTGATTCTTTGCATGGAATTTCCTTCTTGCTGGTCGCTTGATGTTTTCAGGCTAAGGTATGATTCGCTGTACTTATTCTTTGGAATTTAGAGTTCCCAAGATCAAAATTCTATCGTTGTTGCTTTACGCTTTAATTCTGCACTCTTTGGACGGAGAGAGTAGGATTGCAAGAGGACCAAGAAGGGACCTAGAGATATCAAAGAGAGAGTGTGTGTCTGTGCATGTACAAAAATTGTGTAGTAGAGAGTTTTTGGTTAGCAATGTATCGTAGGTTGTGATAATGGACCTGTTTGATTTCTTTTCTCTTTACCCACCCACCCCCCAACAGAAAAAAAAAAAAAAAAAAAAAAAAAAGAGAAGAAGTTTGTAGTAGTACTGGCATATGTAGGTTCAGTGTTTGTTTACATTCTATTTGAATTGGTTTGTTGCTTCTAATGAAGTCTCTCTTGGATATGCCACTGATGTGCAATAATCTTCAAATCTTCTAGCCCTTTTTTTGGTAAATTATCTTTTTGTATAAGCTCTCTGTCTCCTTTTTTGCAGAGGTTGTTGGCAAAATATGGGTCCTTAATCTCAGTTGTCTCCATTGTAACTTTATTCATTTACTTGGTTGCAACCCCGTCCAAATCCGGTGCTGCAAAGACTAGCAAGAAAAAGCGCTGATTGTCGAGGAGCCGAAGGGCTGAGATTGTCGAGGAGCTGAAGCTCATCTTCCACTCGCTGCCTTGCCACTTGATTTATGTTGTAGGCAGGAACTTGGCTTTCTCGCTCCCCATTCTGCTATGTTGTCACTAGTCGAATAGTTGTTCTCTATCATCAATTTAGTTGTACTTTTTATGATCTTAGAACAGTTTTGGCAATTTATGGAAAGCTAGTCATGAAATGGGAACAATTTTTGACAATTTGGATAGCGAATTTTGAAGCTAGTTTGCAATTGGTATGGAGCAGATTACCACTACAGGATCTTTTCTCATCTGCCTATAACTAGCTGATTTTATATATATATATATATATGAGATAAAAAAAATAGAAAATGACTTTATAGTAATTTTTATGATATGATATATGTGAGATAAAAATGTGGATAAAAAATGATTTTTATTTTTGTGATATTTATTTATAGTAAATTTTGTGATGTGATACATGTAAGATAAAAGGTTCAGTTTTTGTGAAATTTATTAATTGTAAATTTTGTGATGTGATATATATGAGATAGAAAGCTTTACGTAAAACTTGCTTATGAGGCGAGGGAAAAAAATTCACCAAGGCAAGGGGTGTTTTCTTTTTATTTTTTATTTTTTGCCTCTTCGCTCCCGTCCCTCCTACTAGTCTCTATGGCAGGTTTTTTAATCTTTCTTTTTTGGTAGAGTGCAAGGTATTTGTGTGTGCGTGGGTTTTTTTTTTAAAAAAAAAAAAAAAAAATAACCTCTATACCTAGCGAGACAGTGGGCAGAGGAATATACCCTGAGTTGTGCTTAGAGCATTCACAATGCTATTACACCTTGTGGAGTGTAATCCACATGCCACATCAGCATTCCACTTTCTCCTCTTTTATTACACTTTCACTCACAATGGATTACACTCCATAAGGTGTAATAGCATGGATCCACAATTAAATCAAATATTTATTTTAATAATGCATAACTCATATCCCATAAATATATAAAGTAATTTTGTTATTTTTAAAAAATAAAGTACTAACTTTCATTAAATTTTTTACATTTTGAATTTTTTATTTTCTAAAAATGATATTATTAATTTTTAAGTTTTGAATAATATATCTTTTTCTATCTTTCAAAAATAATATATTGTTTTTTTTTCAAAAATAATTATGCAGGAAATTAAACAAATATTTGATACTATAAATGCGAAGATATCATAATAATTCATACTTAATTAATAATTCGACATGTAATTAGTTGAACTCCATAACATAATGGGATTACATTTAATCATGGTCCCACCTTCTAATGGGATTACACGCATCATATCCATGATGCGTGTAATCTCCATGACACGGCTCCAATGGGAGACCGTGTCATGGAGTGGTGTAATGGCCCTCCATTACACCCGTGCTGCTGTTGCTCTTAAAGCAAGTTAAGAAGGGGTTTGAAGCTGCTTCCAGTTTTGTATAGGCTATAATGCTATATGTGAGCAAGCACTCTGTTGGCATTCTTGTACGAGGCAAAAAGATCTTATTCTGTGCTTCAATTGTTCTAAAAGTATCGTGTGATTGTGAAGCGTGTAGGGTATCCAGGCCGTCAAACAGATTTTACTCTACTCGCTATTATTTGGTGCAGAGATTGGGGGTAAACTTGGGACAGGGCTGCAAACGAATCGAGCCGAATCGAGTTTTGAGCTAATCGAATCGAGTCTCGACTGAATTTTATCCAGTTTGAACTCGACGAATCGGCGATTTTCAAGCTCGAGCTCGACTCGAATCAAGTCGAGCCGAGCTCAAGCTCGAGCTCGAAAAAAATAAAAAATAATAATTTTATTTTTTAAAA